CATCTAATATAATTAGCTTTTGAACCAATTTTAATACCAATTTTTCATTTATACACTAATTTATATAAAATAATAATAGAATGTAAGTTAATTTATTATGTTATCCAGTATAATTATCATTTGAAACCATTTTAATTCTAATCTTTATTTATTTAAAATAATAAATAGCTTGTAAGCCTGTAAGTAATTTTTCCGGTTTTCAATACAATTATCAATTAAACCAATTTTATGCTAATATTTTACTTGTTCACAATTTATTTAAACAATTAACAGATGGTAAGTTATTGTATTTGTTATCCAATTTATTTATCTTTCGAGACAATTTTGATACTAATCTTTCATTTATGCACTTATTATATAAAATAAGGAATAGTAGGGTAAGTTATCTTAGGCTGTTATTCGATATAATTATTTTATGAAAAATCTTCAGATAAACTTAATAATTATTCGTATATTTATTTCTAGTTCAAAATTTTTATATTAATACAATGAATAGTTCAAAACTAAATTTGTTTACATTTAAATCATCATTTGATTTATTTTCTATATTATGAATTTATCGAATCCATTAATATTTATTTAAATTATTTAATGTTTACAAAAGTACATTTTTTAAGTTTATTATTAAAAATTTTAATGTTAAAAGTAGTACTTTAGTCCCTTATTATATAGTAAAAGCTGTTCTGGCTTAGATTGTAGCTAGTCAAAGCTTATACTATAACTAGTTACAATATAAATCAATTATAAATTATTTTTATTTGTTCTTTTTTAATTCTTATCGAATAATTATTATGGTTTGTTTCTTGTTATTATTTAAGAATTACTGTAATTTGTTTTTTCTAATTCTTATTTATATTTTAAATAAATATCACTTTGAATCGTTAAAGCCATACAATATTGATTTTTGGTTTGTGAAATCTACTGCAAAACTCTTCTTTTTTTTACAATAACAATTTTATTATTAGAATAAAATTATTGATGTTAATTTTAATTGTTTTAATAAAATTAATTAAAAAATTGGAGACATAAAAATTACTCAAGTCTAATACAAAAAATAGTGCAATATCAAAATGTTTCAGGATGATGCATTTATGAGATCTAATTTGTGTGATCTAATAGTTTATGGTAGTGTAAATAATAATTGTAATTTGTTTAGCACATTGTTGTCAAGATGATGCTGAAATTTGATTAAAATTACGATTAGAATTCATTTAAAATGTATATTTGGATTATAGTAGAGTTTATATTTTCATACCAATACATTAAATTTCAGCAACATCCTTCTTAGTATCATCTATAACATTATATTATTAAAATTGAAAGTGTTTTATATAGTCTATAAGCACTTACACTGACTCTAATTTTAATTTTTGGCATCATTTAATAGCTTTATTTCAAGAACAGCTGATTCATTTTTTACAATCATCAAAAAATTCAAAAGTTTGTAATATTCGTTTAAACACAGAATTATCAAGGCACCTGAGTTGCTTAGTGGAAGTTAATAATGAGTGTAATATATTGTATCGTGCTAGTACATAATTTAACAGATTTTGATAAACATTTATACATTTATATTTAAATTATCAGATCTTGAAAAAAATATTAGATAGGTGGATGATCTCTGAAAGGTTCTATTTTTTACTATTTCTGTTAATAACAAATTTATTATTATTTATCATACCTACAAATAGAGATATAAATATTAAGTTGATGATCAAAAATATATTAGCAATTAAAAAAAGGTCTATCAGGAGCTTTTCATTCACTTGGTACTTAATGCCTTTTAGTTATCATTCATTGGATTTAAATCAAACATCATAACAAGTTCTTTTTACCGACAGGTTATTTCACTGAACCTCATTTCACTGACAAGTTTTTTTTTTTTATAAATTTCACTAACTTTAACTCTAATTCTAACCTTACTCTAATGACAATGGCTAAAACTACTTTGTCTGTGAAATGAGCTTTGGTGAAATAAACTGTCGGTGAAATGAAATTGTCAGTGAATAATTGTCGGTGAAAAGTGGTGTCTATGAAGTGATTGTCTGTGAGTTGATTGGAGCCGCATCAATTGTTACAAGTAATGGGGATTTCACAGCATTTGCTGATCATTGCTGATCATATTTATTTCTCAATAATTATAACGATAACGATAACCATGTTCATTTACTAATATCAAAAATTTGGTCATTAATTAAATACTTGAAATTAGATAATATTTAATAGTTGAAAAAGCAACACTAATTAGAATATGGATATACTTGTAACTGTTAATATTATTTCATTCTTTGTTACTAAATTAACAAATGCAGAAGTAATAGAAAAAAGTGTTCTATACATTTTTATTACAAAAAAGTAATTTTTTATTACTTGATTTTTTAGACTGCATTGAACTATAATTAATTTTCTATTTATTACATTATTCTTATGCACATTACTATATTACAACTGCTAAAATAATATTTTGAATTGTGTTTGATGATAAATGATATAGACTCTACACTTTGTTGTACTTTAATTACCTATATGCTTTAAGAGTTAATTATTTTGTTAATATATATAGAATTAGTTGTTTTAATGAAATTATTAAAAATTCTTTGATTATTTTTTAAGTCTAATTGAATTATCTAAATCTTGTATGTTTTTATTTCATTTATTGTAATTACATTGTTGATTGGAATTTTTATATAATTAAAAATTCAACACTGTAATGTTAGGATTTTTGTAACTTTATTATTGCATTTGTGCTAGCATTTTAGTTTCATTAATGTTAATTATATTAAGATTATTTATTAGATAAAAGTTTTGTCACATTTGCTGTTTAAGGTTTTCATTGTAGACTCAAACATTGTATATACTGATTGACAGCTCAAGAGGTTTAATAGAAGAAATAGTATGTAAATTTCTGACTATAGATTTGTAAGATAAATTGAATAGAAGAATTTTAATGTTTTATTAATATATTTTTTAAATAAAAGACATAAAAATATAAAACTTGACTGCTTAAGTGTAAAATTATACCAGAAATAATTTTACTTAGATACCAAGAAGTAGTTACTTAACAAAATATTGAGTAATAATCAGTTTTGTACTGTAGAAAGTTAGTGTAAGTATTCATCAAAAAGAGTTAATAATTTACCTACTACTAACTAAAAAAATTATATTTAGTTTATTATAAAAATTACTAAAAAGAAATAAAATAATTTATATATTGTTTTTTTAAATAACTTATAAAATGTGATCCAGTTGTTATAAAATTTATAAAAACTTTTACTTACAATAAAAATAACTGATAACATAATAAAAATCTTTTAAATATATTATAGTTATTAATGCTATATATAGATCAAGATATTAAAATATGGTTTTAAAATTAATGTAATAATTCTACTACTATCAGAATCAGAATACTTGCTCTATAATATTTGTTAGAAACTCAAAAAAGATTTACTTAACATAAAAAAAAACTTTTCATATATGCTAGCTGCATTTCACTTTATAAAAAACACTATTAATTTTTAACAATTTCTATTATTAAATTTGCTATTTTTTATAGATCGTAACTGTAATTGACTTCTTAAAATATTACATTTTCAGCTTTTATAAATTTTTTTAAAAATCTTTAAAGTAACTTTAATATGATTTTAATAAAAAATTAAAATAGTGTATATATGAACTGAGATTTATAAAAAGTTAATACATTTTAATAATATTTAAAAATTTCTTACAAATAGATGTTTAATGAATATGCAAGTTACTCTTATTATAATAGATTTCTTTATTATATCAAGTGAATCTATTAATAAATTCACTATATCAAGGTTTTTAAATAAATTGCCCTTCACTATAATGGGAGTTCACACAATGAATATTTACTATAATAATAAAGGTTCTGGTTCATTTCGGTAACAGTACGATTCACTGACAAGTTAATTTCACTAACAATATGATTCACCAACAGTAAGTTTTACTGACAAATTTTTTTTTATAAATTACACTAACCTTCACTGACCAGAATTACTTTTTCGGTGAATTGATTGTCAGTGAATTGTCGATGAAACCATAAATAGTTAAGCGGGTAAAAGCATATAGATTACCAAATTTTAAACTAGGAGTAATGCAGTAATGCAAGAATTAATTGTATGTGATATATTATTTTAACAACTTCTAATCGAGAGAAAAGATTCATATTTAAAATATTGTTAAGACTTAAATATTATATAGTTATTGCATGCGAAGTATGCAATAACGGTTTTATTCAATGATTTACAATCTCAGTTTATGAAATACGATCAATAATTTTATCACGTAAAAGTCCCATAAAATAATTGATTTATTTTATAGACTGACCATAATGAAGCATTGAATAATATTTAATACTTCACATTGAATTATTATTTTTACGCATTATTTTATTTCTTTGTTTTGAATAATATTTAATACTTCACATTGAATTATTATTTTTACGCATTATTTATTTCTTTGTTTATATTATTTTTTGTTGTCATTATGAATTTCATTTGGATTGTATTAAGAACAATGAATTAAACGCCGAGTAAAAGGAAATGCCTTGTAAACAATTCAAACCTGAAAATAGTACAATATGAAGATTTTTGTTGGTTTAAAAAAATTAAATTACATTATAGTATATGATATATTTTCTTATACAGCATAATATTTTTTAAACGTACAAAAAATCCAAGGGCTTAAGATTTCTTCTAATTATAAGTTGTAAATAGTTTTATATTTTATTTGGAAAATTTTTAGTTAGTTATCTAGAGTAGAGTAGAATTCATTCTATTTGAAATACAGCTATTTTATTATTAGCGTGGCCTTATATATGTGATTGATATTGATAGTTTAAATAGAAAGGTTGAATGTTTGTAAAAGATCATTATTAATTTAAACAGTAAAATAAACTTCAGCAACTGATAATACAATATAAAAAACGTTAAAAAATAATAAAATAGCTTCTAAGGATTTTACATTATTAAATTTTGCTATTTTAAGAGAGTCTCTAAACAATTAATTAAATCGGTTGTATCATAACAAGCCTCTTTTGGCATTCCAACAAGTTTTAAAATACCATCCACAACGACGTAAAAACGGAATGGCCAAGGGCAATATAATTTTAAGAAAATATTTTTCATTGTATCTGCTAATACTGGAATTTTTAGTTTTGTTGCTTTAACCATTTCATCAGCAGCAGCTAAACGATCAGATAATGTTTCATGCTCTTTGACATCTACAATATTACCAATCGGCCAAACATCACTAGCATGAGCTTCCCTAATTTGTATCATATAGAAATCAGCACGAGCCCAATATCGATCATATATATCATTAAGCACATGAGATATATATCTATATAAAGGACAGGTATGAGATCCAGCAAGGAGAACTAGAGGCCGTCCTGATCGAATAAGTGAGCGTAAAGAAATTGATTTTAATGAATTAGTATCAATGGTTAATCCAGTAGATAAATTTGGGACCGTTGTGTCAGAATATTTCACAGGAATAAGAGGACAATCTGGTGTTTTCATTCCTTCTTTAAGGTTTCCAATGTGTGCTATATTATTACGAACATATAATTGAGTGGTACGAAATACAGGGTCATCTATGCAATAAATGAAAATCAATAAAGAATTATTACATATAATAAATTTTAAACATAAATATGTCTTTGGTATTTTTGTCACCTGGATAAAGTTGTGGTGCACGTCGCATTAGTTGTACAGCCTCATCTGAATAGCCAAATTCTCGAACCAAATCATGTTGCATTTGATCAGTAATATCCATCCAATCTTTGCCACATGTAGGATCATTACCAACTTTACGATATAATTCTTGTAATTCGGATGACATCCTTCGCCGTTCTTCCTCACGTAGCAATGCTAGTAACTCTTTTTTTGTGGTTGGAAGTTTTGGAGTAACAGCAACAGTGCTCTCAAGAATTGTGCATTCTTTAGGTTGAGGGGGTGGTGGTAATTCATTAAATCCCGTGCGGCCGCTGGTTTCATGAAACATTCCACCACGTATTCTTGATACAAGATGCAACGTAGACTCTTTTTTGACACCATAGTCTGACAGGGTTCGCTCATTTTCTAACTGGTTGCCGGCGAAAATAATACGTTGTCGATCAGGAGGGATGGATTCTTTATCTTGTATCCCCTGTTTAACTCGGAAAATTGTATCATTCGACTCTACCTCTAGAGTCAAAGTTTTCCCAGTCAATGTTTTCACAAAGATCTGCATGTTTCTCTTAAAATATTAGATAAATTAATTATATTTTGCACTCAGCAATTTTATGTCAAGATGAGTTTTGTTACCGAATTTTCACCTTTAATTAAGTTTCTTCCTATGTATTTATGAGAATTTATATAATTTGATGGTCGGATATATTACTCCGTAGAAGTACATGACGCCGTTTGAAAAATTCCATAATTTTGCCAATACCTTATGTATTATTTAATATTGAATATTCGGAAACAATGGCATCAGCTAACTTAGTGTTAAATATAACGTACATATAGATACGTATGTATCATGAAATGTTGTGAAACGTTACGAGGGCGTTTTCGCGAAAACAGCCAAATTTTCCTGAACATGTGAGAAAGATAAAAGTAATGAAAGCAAATTAATGTTTAGATCGACATTGGTGCACTGATTAAATTAGCTTTGATCAAATTTGCACGAAATTGTATATTGTCCGCTTTCATGATTGTAATGCAAAGATTTAGTATAAAATATATTATTCTCATGCTTACTAAAAGATCATTGCATAATCGTGCAACTGGACAACAATTAGGTGATTGTTCAAATGATTGTTTAAGCGCGGATCTTCTCAATTTCCGATCCAACTTGATATGTTTATTAGGATTATTCATCTATGTTAATCAATGAATGACTTATTCTTATTTTGTTTTCACTCCAATCACATGTTTGTAACAATAAACAAGCTAGAAGAGTTTATCTGAATCATTCTTATTAACTGACTTTTGACAGTAAACGATATCCAGTTGATTAAAAAGCATCAATGGGCTGAATTGCTAAATGAAATACTAATAACTATGTTAAATGCTGTTTCATGTAGTACGTTCATATATATGGTTAGGGATGGACTCGGTCGGCTAAGCCGAAAATAACCATCCCTATATATGATATATATTTTAGCTGTTCTCATAAATATATGGTACATATTATAGCTGTTCTCGTAAATTTTGAGTTAACTGATAAAAATTTGATCCGCCGAATTCGATAAGTTTTTGAATTCGGTGTGAGATTGAATTTTCGGCATTACAGTAATGCGATAGCACCGAATTCAAAACTTATCGAATTCGGACGATCAATTTTTATCATTTATCCCAGAATTTAAAAGAACAGTTGTAATGCTTTATGGAAAGTATCTTCAATTTATTTGTCAGAAGCTGTAACTTTAGGTACTGAATATAGATGCTGGTGAAACTGGTGAAATTCCTGGTGAATGTTGGTGAAATTGGTGAAATTTAATATAGCTGCAAAACAGATTTTAGATAGCCATCAGTTTCACCAGCATCTATAGTACTGAAGTTACACATGACCAAGTTTTGGTCTTAAAATTAGATCTTGCATTGAGCAACAAATCTGTACGTACATCCAGTTTTTTTTAACTAAACATTTATTTATAGAAAAAAACTTTTAAAGTTTGATTATTTTTACTTACTAACTAAGGCGTGCAAGGAATATCTAATTTCAGTGATTAATTTTTTTAGTGCGCCTAAATCGGTAACATCAAGTAGATGTCAACTTCAAGCACAATATCATAAAAAAAAAATCGACCGTTCTGTGATCACCAATTTATATGGATTACTAATTTTACACAAATTCAGAACTATCTGATTTTATTAATAGGTATTTTTTAAAAGATTTAGATTGGCATTTAACTAGTTGCAGAGATATTTTTTGATAAATTGGTATTTAATATAATGTTGAATAAAATCTTAGAAAATAATTGGAAATGAGAATCTGATATGGACTATACACTGTTATAATTGTTACACTGCATTCACTTTGTCTTGACGTTGTGAAAGGAAGATCGTGACTTAAAATGGACTTTTCTAAATACAGTACATTTTATACATGTTAAATATAAAAGACGCAGTCCACATAGTGTATGTAGGGTACATAGTGTACATGTACCACATGGTGTGCCCTCAGAAAATATTTATTGCTTAGCTTTAGAAGTTAGCAAATTAATACGTACGTACGTACAGTACTTAGCAGGTAATAAATTTAGATATACGTACAAATTCAGCTACGTACGCAACTTAATACACGTACTTTTTGTATAATTTATGTTAAGCTTTTTTGCGCAATTGTGATGTACTTATTGATGATACTGTACATGTGCCACATAGATAATGTACTTATTAATAGTGCAAAAGTATAAAAGAACTACATATTCATCTTCAATAAAGACAAATTGGTTTTAAAGCTTAGAAACAGCTCAGAGTTCAATATTGTTTGGCTCTATACCCCCGATAAGCAAAACCGGTAATAACGATGCCAGATTCCATGATTCCATATTAAGGCCGCTTGCAGTTGAATTTTAGGTTAACATAACTTTAGAACGTTTAGGAGGAGGGGAGGAATAAAATGAAAAAAATATGAATCAATTTGATTGGTCGATGTAAATCAAGTGATTGGTGAGAGGTATCCAGCGTTTCATTGGTTGTTCAGCTGGGGTGATCTTAACCAAAGAATCAATTTCGAACGGCCTTACTAATTCGACCATGCGCTTAATAACTCTATTTATCGATACTTATATTTCTTTTGCTAATCACGATGCTTAAATAACGTCGCAGTCGTTTTGGACCCTTACATCAAATATTTTTTTAAAAAATTAGGCCTTTATATGTAATTATTTTTAATTTGGGCCCGTATTTATAATTATTTTCACATTCAGGGCCCTAATTTGTAAATTTCCCTAGATTTTAATATACTAAAACATAAATGTTGCAGTAAAAAACTTCGCCAATTTTCAATATATACAATTCTTAAGGTCATTTAATCTAAAGATTAGTTTTAGTACTCTAAAATCTCATCACATTTTAAATATTTAATTTCCGACATTTTAAATTCCCAAAATTTTTCAGATATTCCAAGATACTTTAGACATCCTAAACTATTTCAAACATCTTAAAATATTTAGAGGCCTAAAATAATTTTTGCAGCCTAAATTATTTACGATTAAGCTGCATAAAATAATTTAGCCATTCAAATTTATGACGAGAAAACAATAATTTAGAATCTTCACTATATTGAAATCCATTCCTCAATTCTTTAAGTTCACTACAAAAAAATATATATAAAGTTTTATTAAGTATTTGTTAGGTAATAGATGAATTTGCACTAAGGTATAACTCAGGCGAAATTTTCGAGCAAAATATGCTATTTTACTTAATCTAACAAGGTTGATCGCAACTTAATCATTTTGATGAGTAGGGCAACAAATAAGAATTTGATGCAATATACAGTATTTCAGTTATCTAATCTTTAGTCAACGATAAAATGATTAATTTACGTTACGCAGCAATCAAGGGCTTAGTGAACTTTATGATTGTTGCAAACTTAAGGAATACGTACATACAAATAAATGCACTGAGTTTGTAAATTAATTTTACCGTCAACAATAATTTAATATAGATTCTTTTCACCGAATAATATATAAAAACGTACCGATGATGTGCAAGACAATCTAAAATATAACAGAGCTTCCAAGCTGCAATAGTAAAGCTATAAAGTCTTACATGATTAATGACATTATTAATGCCATTACCATTTTCAACTTTAATTTCCCGTTTAAAACACAAGTTATTTTGACGGTCGAGCTTGTATTTACATATATTATCATTTATAAGTTGAGGTAAAATGCAAATTTAGCTTCAAGTTTAAGCGGAGTTAATACATCTTCACTTTTTTCCACAGATGCTATAAGTTTAACCTTGTATTTTTAGGGGTTTCTTGATAATAATGAGAGTTATTGATGATTCTAGTGATTCCAGTTTGATCGAATAAGAATGTAAAAGTCTTTGTAGAATCGCAATAGATTGGTGATAATTTTTTGGACCACACAATTTGATGCCAGTCATCATATATTAACTAAATCAAGAGAAATGATTTATTAATATTATTATAAGGTTTTATAATAAAAATTAATTTACCTTGAGTTTTAAGTCAGAGTTTAATTAGAGATAGCAATTTCGTGCATTACCAAAGGAATAAATGTGTTCCACTTTTTGCAAACTGTTCGTAGTGTGTAAAATGTCTCAGAACTACTATTTATAATAATGATAATAAATAAATTGACAAATTAATTTTTTCTGAAGTAAATTAGTTTCTTACTTTATTTCAGCAACAAATGGCAAGATTTTAATATGTAACTCTTTAGGAAGAATTTGATTCATTTCAAAATTTTTGAAAATGTAACTCACTCCATGTTTTAATAAATTTTTTTGCACCACATGGCTTACATATGTTAACCATGGGACCATAAATGGGCATGTTTATTAGTAAATTGTCGCACGTGATTTGATTTTTTACATCTCTGAGTGGGAGAATTTTCAATTAAACCAGCGATAGCGATAGTGATTAAAAAAAATTGTTACATGGGATTAATTGTATTTTCGTCATCTATTTCTGTAGTTGAAGTTGTATACATACATAACTTCATGTGCTTGAAGTTAAACCTGTCTAAACTTGCTAAATAACGCTAATGTACAGTCAGTGCAACTTCACAGATGCCAATTTCAAGCACGACATTATCATGATATTTATAACAACTTAGTATTGTTATTAATTATCACTATGGTACATTTAAACTAATATGACCAAATGAGCTTTATCTAAAAACGTGACTCGAAACCACATGATCAGAAACTTTTAATTCAAATCACTTTAGTTAAGTTTAAACTAGTGACTACATTCCTATTATCTTTTTTATTATTTAAATTTAAATAAATAAGCTAATAAGAGTAAGCAATGAGATCATATATCATGTACATTATGTACTATTAACATTAATAAGGAAAAAAGAAATCAAAACCTCACCACCAATAAAAGTGTTCAATTATTACCATTCATGTTTCTAATTGTTATTCCCAAGTTCGCTACCATTATTAACTTTACAAATGAGTGCTTGAATGAAACCTGAAAGTGAAAATTTAAAGCTTTCACCGTGAATAACTTAATTTATAATAGGTAATTTCAGTAATGCA